TGTAATAAACATCCAGTTTGTCTTTTAAAATACAGTTGTCAAACTTTAAACGGTAAATATACAGGAGATTTATCCTAGAGGTCTTTAAGGCACAAAGTCTGTTAGGAATAATGTCTTGTATCCATATGAACTGTTACCCAGGGAGCCATATGGAACCTTACATGTAATATTTTATTTTTTTAAATAAGCTAGAAAGGATATTAAAAATGTCTACTTGAAGTTGCACTGCAGCGCTTAACCCCTGGGATGCAGTGGTTTCACAGTGCATGCTACTAACCACACAAACACTTTTGAATTGGCAACTTGTGGTAAGAATAAACTACAAACTCCCTAACAAGAAAACTTTTTCCCCTTTCTATTGGAATATTTTCATCTTGAGAACACTGACAAAGGAACACAAAAAAAACATGGAAAAGATGAAGCCTAGAAACCATCCTTTAGGGACAATGACGACAGGTTTTTCTAGTTTTACAAAGAAGAGTCTGTGTCTGTGTGTGTGTGTGTGGGTGGGTGGTGTGTCTGTGTGTGTGTGTTTGTGTGCATGTATGTGTATATGAGAAAGAGAAGAGGGGAGAAGAGAGGAAAGAGACAGAAAGAGGTAGAGACTGATCAAATGGTTGGTTATTTGGTATGCAGGATTATCCTATTTCAGTAGATGTGTGGTCAGCTACACTTTCAACATAAAGTCAACATGCCTAAATTAAACAATACTGTCAATCACAGGAGATTTTAGTGAGATGAAATACTGTGGAAGAAGCCCTAAGTGTCATACAAGACTAGAACTAGGCCGCTGTGTGTGCTACCTAGACAGGAGAGCAAGATTGGTACAAAAACAAACCAGAAGAAGACCCCATAACAAAGCAGTATAGGCTAGCAAAGCTAGTAGGCTAAGTGATAGGAAAGATCTGGGCCAATTCTCCTTAAATGGAGCAGGCACATACTGGTGAGATTATGAGATGCTACACTGTACCTAATGACAAAATTATTTATACAGTGTCAAAACACCATCCAAACCCCAAGAAGTGCACACAGCTAGTAATAATATAAGGCTAGTGAGCTGGGCAGTAATGAAACACTGTACCTAGCCAAGTTTGTAAAACAAGTACAGAACTTCACAGTATACCAGTTTAAGGACAACTTCGAATGGCAGGTACTGAGCATCATAAACAAAGACTGATATCAGTGTGTTCATGAGTCTACCCTATGAAGAAAGAAAGTATCCCATATAGTTCCTTATTTGTGTCTTGAGGAAAAGCCTCAAAAGAGGAAAATTCAAATGACCTGTGACTTCTGAGGATTAAGAGAACATCACAGATTCACAGACCCAGAAAAGCACCTAGTGTCTGGCCCTCCAGCCTCCAACAACCATCAAGAATTGTAATACATCTCAAGACTGGGAGAAGTACCATACCCACTTCTAACAGTGAAATATAATAATATACATTTTAATCAAGACACACTTAGGTTTCATTTAATTAAATAATTTACCATGCTTTAACTGGAACTAAGAATAGTTGCTAAGACAATAGGCTTAAGAAGAACGAATAGTATATAGTCTTTGCAAGTGGCCAGACTTGAATTCAAATCCCATACCCACCACTAACCCAGGTACTGTGCAGCCTTCCATCAGCCATTTATGGCAATCCAGGGGTTCTGTCCTCATGCTTGTACTTCATGTTTGCAGATACCACAGCCAGCCAAATGTAAGAAAGGGGAGTTGGCCTTATTCTTTTATAAGTAAAATTTAAAAACCACTTTGCTGGAAGAACTCCCAGAAGTCACCCACTTAACTCTAATTTGCCACAACTTGGAGACTGATCAACCCAAGATGCAAGGAAAGTAGGGAAAAATTGGCAAAAGAGAACGGGATCATCCTAACTAATTTAAGTCAATGTTGCTTCACTCCCAAGGGCTGTGTACTTAGCCATCCTAAAGAAAACTGTGATTCTGTTAACAAGGAAGAAGGGCTGTTAAGTGGGCAATGATCAGTATCTGTCACAATACCTCAGATGAAACAAAAAATATAATTGTAAGCATCTGAGGGTGAAAAAAATGATTTTTAAATAACAGAGACTCTTTCAGTTCAGTAAAGATATTGCAGAAAGAAAAGTGAATAAAATACCCTCGATACCTAGTCTAAGGTACAGTCTAAGAAAGTAGAACTGCTTCATCCTGGAACAAGTGATTAACATTTCATAAAACAAAATTTAATGCCTCCCCCAAGCCCCATATTCAAAACCTTTTTCTGTATCTAGTAAAGTTTCTAAGGCAAAGCTATAATATAACCTAAGAATAACAGTAAGTATTGACTACTTTTGACAAAATAACTTGTTGAGCTTTTGTAATCTATAATAAAACTAAACAGCTCTAACATGAATCATGATATATTATTTTAGTTGTCCAGATAAAGCAGAATCGAACTGGCTAATTAGGCTGAAGCATTTATTCTTTCAACAATAAAATACTTTTCAGATAATAAGCTTATAACAGCAACAACTACATGTTCAGAAGCTGAGAAAAACAGCATATGTTTCAAGGTCTTTCTCATCAGACACTCTTATTTGTTCAGAGTATTTTGCATAGTAGGCAATATTGGTGCCCAATCATTTTACCTTTGAGTTTTGATGATTTCACATACCAAATATACAAGAAGAGCAATAACTGGAAAGCAAAAATTTTTCATATCTTTAAAAATTTCCACAGAGCTCAGACTTACTTGGCATAACAAAAGGTTACTCTCACACTTCAATCTAGGATTGAATGCACATATTTGTTAACTTAGTATCTAAATGTTCATACTACCTCAGTTTTTCTAAAATATTCAAAAAGGTTATTTAGCAAAGAGTAGATAAGTTATCACAGGTCAAATATAACTGTAAGTTAAACTTGTAAGGTACACCTTTGGGTTAAAAGACTGATTAGATTAGTATAGTTAACTGCAAAGGCTAAATGGCAGACCTTGAAAGATGACAGATACCATTCTTAGGCAGTGGAGGTTATGGCTACCAGAGAGTAAGGCTTTACACCACGATATCTAGATATCCACCTCTCAAATAAGACTGTTTCAAAGACCACTGTGACACTTATCCTCAAATGCTACAGGCTTCTAAGGGAGTAGGGAAGCCATAGACACAGAAGTGTTTGCATGCTAACCACACACATATATTTGTGATACAATAATGTAATTCTGAAAAACTGCATAATCAAAATGAAATCAAACAACAGACATAGAAATGTCTCATTTTAATGTTCAAATCACTGTAGAAATTTATTATATTGAATAGTACTGTCAAATGAAAAAGTGCCATAAAGTCAACTGGATTACTTGACCTTAAGTAATATAATATAATTGGTGCTGCAAAAACACAATTAAATGGGATGTGAAAGCAACCATAAACAGTCATATTTTAACACAGCAACAGTCTTATCATTGCCTTTACAACTTTTATATGAACATGTTCATTGAAATTTTTCATACTATTAGTGAATCAACAATATTCACTTAGTGATATCAGAATATAAAACATTAAATTATGTAAAGAAAGATACACTTTAGATTTGAAAAAAATAGAAAATTCTGAACATGCACTAGAATAACATTTTACCTTTCAAATCCTAAGCCATGTAACTGGAATGCTCGCTGCTATTTCATCTGACACTGTGCACTCTCAGTGACAATACTTGGTTTTCATACACAAAATGGGTAACTCTCTGAATCCCTCAAGTTCCTACTAAGAAGAGCAACCTACATTTAAGTCACAAGCTGCCATGTCTCCTGAGGCTGGTCCACTTTAGGGGCAGCAGATGGGCAGAGGTACTGGAGGCAAAGTGGGCACTGCAGCTTCCAACATGTCCTTCCTCTAAGAACCTGTCTGCTCTAACTCCATTCATTATCAGCTCAGCACTTTTCATTCCTGCCCAAACCAATGCAGTCAATACACAGGGGTCCACAACAGCAAGAACATTAGATATGTTAACCACTACAGGATAGTCTTCCACTATTTAACCATCAGGAGAACACACAGAAACACGTACAAATAGAGAATAAGGGGATGCCACCCTACCTGTTCCCTCAGTGAAAATATAATGAGTATTTACCTCCATCTTTTCAGTGTGTCCCATAAGACTCTTTTTTTTCTAAATTTTATTTTTATTATTATTATTTTTATTTTTATTTTTATTAGAGATGGGGGGGTCTCACTCCACTCCCAGGCCAGAGTACAGTGGCACGATCCTGGCTTACTGCAGCCTTGAACTCCTGGGCTCAAGCAATCCTCCCACCTCAGCCTCCTAAGTAACTGAGACCAGAGGCACATGCCACCATGCTCAGCTCATGAGACTCTTCCTAATACTTCCTCCTAGTTCCTACTTCCTAACAAATCAGAATTCAGAATTGAGTTCTGAATAATAAATACTTTCAAACTTACTCATCCTCAAGAATAAGTCAAAGGTTACCAACTCTATAAAACCACCTCCAGTTTGTCACAGTCCAAATCAACCTCTCCATCTTTCATCTCTCATTGCACTTGCCTATCTCTATCTCAACAGACTTTAAACCCTTGGGAATATCCACCTTTCAACTCTGATTCCTAGTAAACAGCAGACAGAACGAACCAAACTAAAACAGTATACTCAATAAAAAAGGCATTAGAGGTGTTTTTATGAACACCTCACCCCCCAAAAAACCCAATGGGCCCAAGATCTACTCTTCTCTCAGGCCACAAATTGTTACCCATACCCACACCAATGTATATAATGAAATCACAAGACAATAAGAAAAGACATATGGTTGGTTCTAAATGAAGCTCCTTTCCTAGTGACCAGGTGTCCTTAGAGGATGAGTGTACACCACTGCTCTGCTTTCTTTAGAGAAATATCTACTGTACTCATAACAACCAGTTCCATTGTTGGAGAAATTCTTAAAGATGCTGATAGAGAAGCAACATCCTCATAAAAGTTACTTTTTTAAAAACTGGAAATGCATCCTGAGCTCTAATTACCTGTAATGCTCACTGATGGGAATGTTCTGAGAGAAGTATAAAGCAGATGTCCGAGCTCTCCAATGCCATTTCTTTGCAGGAAGGGTATAAAGGACACAGTCTCCTAACTCTTCTTGGAGAAGATCCACCAGTTGTTTATGGGACCCTCCATAGAATGCTTCAATGATAAGAATACTCATTGGCCCATTCAAACCTTCAGATCCTAGATAACAACCAAAAAATGTTTATTTTTTCCATTACATACATGTATAAAATTGTAATAAAAATAAGTTCAAATTTTATACTCATAAAATACAAATAATTTAGCACTTATTTTTTAAAATAGGCTTATCCCATTATTTTAAATGGTATATAACACTTAAAGTTTTATATTTGTGTTAAGAAGAAGAAATAAGGATGTCTTTACTTTTCTGATTTGTTTTCCTCATGTCCTAAGATTATCTCCACTATGACTCTTAGTTTCTTTCTTCAACACCAGAAAGCTGAAAGCCCTCACCTGCTGTGAACACTCACTTCCTGCTTTGTTCAGCTATAAGCCTGACTCAGTAATCTCAGAAACCACTTGACTTAGAGCTCTAGTCTTAGACTGTAACTGAACTCATCTTCTAATGATGACTTCCACTTCAAGAGCCCTTCATTTATAAGGCCCTTCGTGGTTCAGAAACTCTGATTCTTTAACTCCTGTATTACTCCATCTTTAAATTCACGAGGTATAACTGTCCCTAATAGATACGTATTTAAAAAGACAGTATATCAACCATATACAAATCTCTATTTTCTAGTGTTAAAAATTTTAGGATACAATTTCTTGAGATACTACACATACTTTGATCACTTCCCCAAACTTGTCAATGTATCATTCCCAAAGAAACGCTGAAACAGTGTGGTAAAGTTGTATGTGTGTGAACCAATAAGCTTTCTACAACCTTCCTTTAGACAAGCGACCTATTAAGAGGGATAAAATAGCAATAATAGGGTCATTAAAAACATGATAAAATTTCATCACAGAGAATTGGCTATCAAGCAATTTTTCATTTTACTACAATTTTTGTTAATGTGCTCAGTGAAATAAAAAGATATCTATGAACATAAAATCTCTCATACGCATTTCAAATTATATGTTATTTCCTGTAAGACATAGGGGGAACACATCATTACATGCATAAATGCTATATTGCTTAAGAAATATTCCAGATGTTTGAATTGTCCTTTATGACTTAAGTAAATATCATTCATTAAATGGCGTATTCCTTTTCTTAATAATGTTGTTCCACAAAATTATTAGTCTCAGTGACTCATGATGTTCTTCACTAATAAAACTACACTTCACTTTGTTCAAAGTAATGGCTACTTAAATTGCATTTCAAAGCAAAAAGGCTTCTTTTTGATGTCTAAATTTTCCAATGAGCAATTGGGAGGATGGAGGAATATATCTATATATAATTGGGGGAGGGGCTCTGTGTGTGTATTTCATTTATATGCAAAATTAGAAGCAGTGGTCCTCAGGTAGAAAAGGCATGAATCCTAGGATCAAGGACATACATGTCTGAACCTCAGCTCTGTCACTTTCAAGCTGTATGACCTTGAACAAGTACCTAACTTTGTAGGACTCAGTCTCATCTTCTCCAAAATAGAGACAACAGTACTAACCTCAGAGTGTGTTGTTAAGATAAAATTAGAAAATGCATGTGAAGCATAGTAGATTGCAAACAGTAAGAAGGTATTTAGCCCATCCCATCATTAATATAAATCACTCTCCTTAAGGAGAAAGAATCTCTTCAAATTTTCTGCCATTTTAAAATCAATAATTTTCAATCATGGTCCCCTACCCAACAGGAATAGATGAAAAAGGTGGATATACAAATGCATTTAAAATTGCAGTGGGTGTTTACACATCCCATGTCAACAGCTTGCATTTTAAACATGAATTTGAGAGTCCTGCAGGCTTTGTGTGTAAGAGGTGAGCTCAGAGGCTGAGCCATGAAGAGTTCATGGACCACTGGACTTCTGCTCTAATAAGGTAGTGTTCAATAAGTTAACAGACTTATTGAACCCTCTTGGTTCAACAAAGTGGTAGCCATTAATCCTTCAAATGATGGAAATTTCTAGAAAGTAACTGAAAGAACAATAAAAAGCAATATTGAAAATTATATCAAAGGTTTCAAGAAAGACAGAATATAAGCAGTTTAACATTAATTTGCTTACTTCACCACACTGAAGATATCTACTATCTTGCTTTATTTCCTCTGACCTACTCACACTAAGGTGTATTAAACATATGCCCTATATGTACTTAAAAGGTTTCTAAAAGGGTCTTGTAAATATGACCTATTTCCCCAAGTGATGAAATGTGATATAAACCACTCTAAAGAATATTTCACTCATCTAACCTCAAAGAAAGCAGTATCAATACTGGAAAAGAAAACTGCTTTCTGATTCCTCATCATCTTATCCTTTCCATGATTAATCTAAAGTACATATCATGACATATTGTACAGATGTTTCTGATGGGCCTGGTTCACAAGTTATCTGCAAATTATCAGCCACTGTGGAGGCAGTACATGTAGGTGCTGCTATAGAGTCAAGATGCTCAGTAGGCAGAACTGAACTAAGCATGTGGGAGGCTGAAAAACAGAAAAGGGTGAAAAAAGATTATAGCTATAGTAGATTTCCACCCCCCTGACAGCTCAGTAAGAAGGGTGAAATGTACAGGTTTGAACTAGTGTTTATGTGACCATTTTTTCTGGTGGCCAATGGGTGTGCCTGCATTTTGGTTGTTTTTCTAGGGAAAATAACTATGTCCTACCATCTCTGAAAACTATACTTAGTGGCTTTGATTCATGGAAATTTGTTCTGCTTGTTTTGTGGAGACAAACATATCCTGGCAGTTCCCCCACTTACTTCTATTGCAACTTTTGCAGCAGGCTGAAAATGTGTTCTTCCCTATGGTCTTCTTGAAGTACAACCTGGAAGAAAGATGATTCCCATTAGATACAAGTAAAAGGGGGGAAGCTGATTTTTAAATATATGATTCAAACCAAATGACATATAGCACTTTAAAGAACAATTCAAATATTTTGGCTGTGTTTGAGTTTTGTTTTAGAAAACTGCTTGAAACAAGCATGAGGTTGATCAAAGAAAAAAAACAACCCACTTCACTGCTATGGTGAAATTTGCTAAAATATAAAGAGAATACACTATTTGCCCATTTCAGCAATAGTCAGAAAAATCCACAAGTGGTCACCTTGATACACAGATGTTCACAAGCATGTAGGGTGAATACAGACATTTTTGCACCACTAGCAAAGGCTACTAGAGAATACTTGGAAGCAGCAGTAATAAGGCCTCACTATTGAAAGTGCTAACTCCAAAGCAAGAACAGGTTTTCCTTTATAGGAGGAGGCTATGGCCAGGTGTTCGTCAGAAGATGGTAGAGAGCCAAATGTCTTCTGTTGGTGCCTCAGTTTATGAATCTGTTAAAGCATTGTCACAAATACCAAAAAAGACCTTAAATTATGAAACACTTAAACTGATTAAGAATACAAAAATTAGGCTGAGCGCAGGGGCTCACTGTGTAATCCCACACTCTGGGAGGTCCAGATGGGTGAATCACCTGAGGTCAGGAGTTCAAAACCAGGCTGGCCAACACAGTGAAACCCCATCTCTACGAAAAATACAAAATTAGCCAGGGCATGATGGTGCATGCCTATAATCCCAGCTACTTGGGAAGCTGAAGCAGTAGAATCGCTTGAACCCGGGAGGTAGAGGTTGCAGTGAGCTGAGACAGTGCCATTGCACTCCAGCCTGAGCCATAAGAGGAAAACTCCATCTCAAAACAACAACAACAACAAAAGAATACCAGAATTAGGGGTGTGGCACTTTAAAAGGAAGAAACAACAAAAAACTAGATTGGAAAATAAATACCAACCAGAAAACCCATGTCGTTTTTGCATGGCGCTCATAATGGTCTTATACAACATTAAGAAAAGAGTAAATACAGCAGCTCCATGCTTGCTCCCTAAAAAAGCATGTAATATATCAGATAAATTTTTATCAATTTTTAAGTTTTTCTGCTGAAACAAGCTTCAGTGAAAGAAAAACTCACTTCTTCAGCATAATTTATTCCCCAATGACACCAGATAAATGAAAACCTAGTTACTACTAAAGCTTTATGAAAGTTTAATTCATTATCAATACTATGATTTAATGATACATGGTTAAATGCTAAACATCAAATATGGAAATATAAAATATGTCAATGTGATAGCTCTTACACAGAAATTTTATATCATTTCAAATTCTATTTAAGATCAAGAGAGGTCAAAATGATCTATTTAAGAATTCTCTACCATTTAAAAAGTATATTTATAATTGAAAGGGGATATAACATGAAAATATCAATAGTATTTCAAACATTTTGACTAAAATGAAAAATCACCATTAGCATCACCCCAACTAAAAACTAATAATGCACTGATAAGATTACAGAGAACAAAAGTAGCCTGAAACTAATGCTGTGAATATTTTTAAATTTTTATCAAAACTTTTTGTCATTGTACCTGCATTTATTTTAAGCTTGACCCAATTTCTTTATTCCCTAAGCTATGATGATTTTCAAGGTGAACTACATTTTTGTCTACCTCCTTTAGCACTTAGAACTGCTGTGGTAGTTGAAATGTTTTTAACAGTATAGATATTAAAAATCTGTAATATGCCATTGATTTACTGAAAAGTATATGCTAAATATAAATACATCATGTCAATTTAAAAAAATAAATAAATTTGTCACACTGAAACCCATAATTAGCCTTCATATCTGACGTCAACTTTGTTACCTATAATATTCAAATCATTTTCCAACCAAAGACCCAGTAATAATTTTAAATCAGAGGAATTGTTGTATTAATATATTCCATAGACACCTTTCTGTTATTGGTTAGTTGTAGGAAGGTATAGTTTCAGTGATGATGATTTTAACGGTTTTAATCCCACACACATGAGAAATTGATTCCACAAGCTAATCCACATACATACCTTAAAACTTCAATCAATTGTTGAAAATATAGTTTTGATTTACCTATATGTAATATTTGGAAACTTAAGCTTGTTAAAGCAAAAAACAGTGGGCTTAAACACTAAATGATTTAAGTTGGGGAAAGTGAAACTTGAGCAGTATTTCTCAGTAGGTCATCAGAAGTTTACCTGGTATTTTCTTACTGACCCTTTCTCTCCCTTCCCTTCTGCACCTCCACCCACCAACACACCCAGGTTCTATTTAAAAAGCAACCAATAATCCAGCAGAGTAAAATAGGGCAGTGCTGAGAAAAGTTAGTATTACCTTCCAGCCTACTCACTTATTTTAATGATTCATCACGGAAACCCCAGTTGTTAAAATATATCTGAAATCTCATTAAATAGTAAAAATAAGCAGCATTGAAAAGTTCTCTGCTTTAAAACATGTCACCAGTGATTCCCCTAACAGAATCTATTAAGAATGAGTGTGAAGTAAAATACATTTTGCTAAAAAACTTTCCTCAAAGTAATGTACTATAATCAACTATCATATGGGGGAAAACAGAGACAAGATAAACAGATTCTATTAAGAAGTTATTTTTTAAAATTCTTCTATAAAAATCAGGCACAGCAAATTCATCTTAACCTCTAAAACCGGAATATAACCTCTGAAAACTGAAATATAATCTGCTATTAAATGCAAAGTAATAATTTTACATACATAAAACTCTATGCACTGAAAATATTCTATATAAATTTAAACAAAGTTGGCTAATAGGAATGAATCTGTTTCTGGAGCATTAGTCTGAACTGTGAATAACACTTGATGGATACTGATCATTATTCCATTATTTGGTTAGGGGACATACAGTCTAACATTTATGATAACTTGTATACTACCATATGTACTTAAATAGCAACATTTTGTTTTAATTCTGGGTTCAAATTGACAAAGATGTGGTAAGCTAATAATGTATATCCCTTTCAATGTTATGGATATGCTGATCTCTTCAACTCTGATTTTTGTGTCTTGTTGTAGAGACTAAGAACTGAAAATTCATGCATCGAAACCAAGATTTAGTAGGAAAACTTATACGCCATACTTTCTGAGAAAATTTAAAGCTATTTTCAAATGTGCTTTTCCAATTATATGAGAGAGTTGCAATGATCTTTTTAAAAAATGCTCTTTGCAAAATTAGCATCTTACATGTATTTGTGACTGTTTAATTTTCCCTGATAATATTTTCTTTTTTGTTGGTTTGGAATTTTACTTTCTATTTAAAAGTATCAGTCATGGCTGGGTGCAGTGGCTCATGCCTATAATCCCAGCACTTTGGGAGGCTGAGGTGGGAGGATGGCTTGAACCCAAGAGTTTGAGACCAGCCTGGGATACTGTGAGACTCCATCTCTACAAAATATTTAAAAATTAGCTGAGTGTGGGGGGTGTGCACCCATAGTCCTAGCTTCTCCAGTCCTAGCTGAGGCAGGAAAATCACTTGTGCCCAGGAGTTTGAGGTTAGTGAGCCATGATTGCACTACTGTACTCCAGCCTGAGTGACAGAGCAAGGTCCTGCCTTTATTTAAAAAAAAAAAAAAAAAAGTCACTTATTCCAAGACTTGAATTAAAAAAAGAGTCTTGTTTAAAACTTATAAGCATCAAATGCAAATTCAGCAAATAATTACTGAGTACTTACCATGTACTAGGCACTATGACATCATGTACTTGTTTTCAAGTATGTACAACTTCCACAAACAACTAGGCAAGTATACAAGTTCAATATATTTTTGTGAGGTTGTGTTCCACATTATATAGCAAAATTACAAGGTATTTATTTGTGTCAGAAGTTGAGTGGTTTAATTCCACTGACAAATACAATATTAACCCCCTTTCAATTTTCAAATGCTATTAATTCCATGAATAATTTCAAATTATAAAAGCAGCAATGAATTAGTTCTACTGATTACTAAAAATATTTTTAATTTCCCAGCATTCACAAATGTGGCAGCATATTTATGAATAGGAAGTTTTACACCAGAAAATCAACTCACCACTCATTTAAAGTATCTCATTACCCTTTTATCTAGGCCTCCATGCTACCATACAATCTTGTTTCCACCATACCATTCTCCTTAAGCTAATCACAAATAATCTTTCCAAAATGGAAATCTGACCATAAAATGACAAGCTCAAAAACCTTAAATCACCTAAGGATAAAATCCAAGGCCCTACAAACGGCAATTAAGACTCATTTCCTGGCCCCTTCCTTTTTCTTCACTACAGCCACATTTGGCCTTCGCTCACTTCAATCCCTCTTCCCCAGCCTCTACTTTGCAGCAATACTAAACACCCACACTCCAGAGATGTTTTACGCTCTTATGATTTCACACTTTTATCTCACCTCCATCAGCCTTTGCTCTCTGTTCGCCTAATGAAATTTTGTTAAAATTTCTGCTCATGAATCACCATTTCTATGAAGCCTTTCCCTGAACTCCTCCTAAACATGACTTCCTTTATACTCTGTACAGTAGAATTATACTTGTTTCACTGTAGTCACATGTTCTGCTTCTCCATGGAGCTGTGAAAATCTGAAAAATGGATGCTGTGCCATTATTTTCCTGAAAGTTATCTCAGGACCTGACACATAGTAGATGAACTAGGTTTTGCTGGAGCTGAAGTGAAAATCGGGGACACAGGAAGTCACTTTCTTCTGCCTTTAAAGTAACACTGCTTTCACTTAACATAGATTCTAAGCAACAAGTGTTAGGCAACACTGTACTTGATACTAATGATGTCCCATTATTGCTGAAGTCTAAACTAAATCAAGCAGCAAGTATATCTGGACGCATTTTATTATGTTCTCTTTCAAATATTCATTCCTTTCTATTGTTGACAGAAGCAGAATTTATGGGAAATAATTTTTTTCATATAGATATGTGTTTATTTTAAACTACC